GAATCCTATATTACCTCGATTACTGTCTTGGTTATCAGCCTGAAATAATTCTCTGATTTCACTGGCAACCACTGTTGCTATGCTGCTGTAATTCAGAGATTCAGCCAAGCCTCACGTTCTGCTAGAAGGGAAGCAAAGATCAGGACCCAGAATAGTTTTTATTGCATCAAGAACATCTGGAAATTGGAAGAGGCACCCCTTTTTTGGAGTAGTCCTCTTAATCACAGAAGGTTCTACACTTCCAAGTACTACAGCAGCCTTCAGAAATTCAGCAGCTGCAGTGGTCCCACCTCATGATCCTAGTGATAAATACATGAAGAAAATATTCCATAAGGATATCTTTTATCAAACCAGTCCAGTGAAATTGCAACACCCACAAATTCAAACATGAAAGCCTATCAGCTTCTATTAGCCATAGCAACAGAGTACAGTAAATGGCCTGTGGCGGCTTCAACCCAAGCAATACCTAATGTGACGATGATGTTCATCGACAGATTCAGGCATGGTGTAATTAATCTTAAGAGTTGGAAGAGACTGCAAGGACCATCCAGTCCAAACCGCTAATACTTCTGGTTTATCCTTATTCAATCCTTCTTATATTTATTTTGATTTGCTGCTTGTACACAATAAAAAGGTAAAGATTGTCCCCTGAAATTAAGTCATGTCTGATTCTGGGGGTTGGTGCTCATCTCCATTTCTAAGCCGAAGAGCCAGCATTGTCCGTACACACCTCCAAGATCATGTGGCCGGCATGACTGCATGGAGCGCCGTTACCTTCCCACTGGAGCGGTATCTATTAATCTACTCACATTTGGATGTTTTCAAACTGCTATGTAGCCTCTCATGTAGGTTGGCAGAAGCTAGGGCTGACAGTGGAAGCTCACGCCGCTCCCCGGAATTGAATCTGCGACCTTTCAGTCAACAACCTCAGCAGCTCAGCGCTTTAACCCACTGCGCCACCGAGGGCTCCTATTGTACACAATAGGTTGGATTAAAAGAACAGTGCTACATTGCATGTTGAGTTTAGTCACATACGAATTATATTAGTTGACAATAATTGTCCATCCAGTCCCATGTTGTTGGCTTCACTCTGTTTAAGCAATTTTCTTTCCTATCCCTGCATGGATTTCCATGTAGCCTCTCATGTAAATACTGGCCCAGCTTAGCTTCCAAAACAAGACAATTTGAATATGTTTGGGACGCTGTGGGATTATGTATTTCTTGGAGTAGCAGTCATCCATAACATAATTAAAGTCTCCCCCCCCCCCCAACAAAAAAGGTTTGTTGTAGGATGTTGAAGTCTATAAAATAGGTCTGGGAGTATAAATGGTAAAGGTTTCCCCTAACATTAAGTCTAGTCGTATCCGATTCTGGGGAGTGGTGCTCATCTCTATTTCTAAGCTGAAGAGCCAACGATGTCCATAGACTCCTCCAAGGTCATGTGGCCAGCATGACTGCATGGAGCACTGTTACCTTCCCACAGAAGTCTGCCTTTGTCTGGAATAGAGGTGGGGAATTGGGACCTATTGATCTACTCACATTTGCATGTTTTTGAATTGTTAGGTTGGCAAAAGCAGAGGCTAACATTGGGAGCTCACTCCGCTCCCTAGATTCAGACCGTCAACCTTTCGGACAGCAAGTTCAGTAGCTTAGCAGTTTAACCCACTGCACCACCAGCCAAACCTAAAGTGACATTTTAGATTTCATATTTAAGAATTTAGATTTCAGGTCGTAATCATCTGTTAAACCTCCTTACCACAGGCACTGCCGTCCTGTTGCTGGAAACTGACCCTTTAATTTCTACTGTGAAACAAGCATCCTGGCAGGCTTCTCACTACTGTGACTATGACAAGACTTCCCTTTAGACAACTTTTTCTCTCTCCCTTTCCCGTCCGCACTTCAGGCTTTCTTTAAGGGAAAGCTGTTTGCTTGCATCTGGGAAAGGCCTGGGCCTGAGCAGACAGAAACAAAGCACAGTTACAGGAAAGGTGCCTGAGTTGTGGCCACAGATGTGCTGTTTTGGCAGTGTAATGAATCATAGAATCATAGAGTTGGAAGAGACCTCGAGAGCTATCCAGTCCAACCCCCTGCCAAGAAGCAGGAAAAATACATTCAAAGCACCCCTGGCAGATGGCCATCCAGCTTCTGCTTAAAAGCCTCCAAAGGAGGAGCCTCCACCACACTCCAGGGCAGAGTCTTCCACTGCTGGACAGCTCTCACACTCAGGAAGTTCTTCCTCATGTTCAGGTAGAATCTACTTTCCTGTAGTTGGAAGCCATTGTTCTGCGTCCTAGTCTCCAGGGCAGCAGAAAACAAACTTGCTCCCTCCTCCCTATGACTTTCCCTCACAATTTGATACATGACCATCATGTCATCTCTAAGCCTTCTCTTCTGAAGGCTAAACATGCCCAACTCTTTAAGCCACTCCTCATAGGGCTTGTTCTCCAGAGCCTTGATCATTTTAGTCACCCTTCTCTGGACACATTCCAGCTTGTCAACATCTCCCTTCAATTGCTGTGCCTAGAATTGGACACAGTATTCCAGGTGTGGTCTGACCAAGGCAGAATAGAATAGAGGGATAGCATGACTTCCCTGGATCTAGACTAGATTCTATTTATGCAGACCAAAATCCCATTGGCTTTTTTTGCTTCTGCATGACATTGTTGGGTCATGTTCACCTTCCTGTCCACGAGGACTCCAAAATCTTTTTCACATGTCCTACTGATTGGCCCATCAGGGAATTATATATAGAAAGACATTGACGTAGCCTATGGAGAAGTCCTATGGAGACTGAAAAATACCGAAGACTGTAGAGCAGTGTTTCTCAATCTTCCTCATGCCGTGACCCCTTAATCCAGTTCCTCATGTTGTGGTGACCCCCAAACATAATATTATTGTCGTTGCTACTTCATAACTGTTATTTTGCTCCTGTTATGAATCGTAATTTACATATCTGATAAGCAGGATGTATTTTCATTCAGTGGACCACATTTGGCACAAATACCCAATATGCCCAAATTTGAATACTGGTGGGATGGGGGCGGGGTTGATTTTGTCATTTGGGAGTTGTAGTTGCTGGGATTTATCGTTCACCTACAATCAAAGAGCATTCTGAACTCCACCAATGATGGAATTGAACCAATCTTGGTGCACAGAACTCCCATGGCCAACAGAAAATACTGGGAGGGTTTGGTGGGCACTGACCTTGAGTTTTGGGACTTGTAGTTCACCTACATCCAGAGAGTACTGTGAACTCAAACAATGATGGATCTGGACCAAACTTGGAACTAATACTCAATATGCCCAAATGTGAACAGTGGTGGAGTTTGGGGAAACTAGACCTTGACATTTGGGAGTTATAGTTGCTGGGATTTATAGTTCACCTTCAATCAAATAGCATTCTGAACCCCACCACCGATAAAATTGGCCCAAACTTCCAACACAGAACCCCTATGACCAACAGAAAATACAGTGTCTTCTAATGGTCTTTGGCAACCCCCCTGACACCACCACATGACCCACCCAGGGGTCCCGACCCCCAGGTTGAGAAACGCTGCTGTAGAGTGTTCTGTAACTTGCTCTCCATCCTTGTCTCTTTTCTGTGCAAAGCCGCATGAAAGTTTTCTTTCAGTGACAGACCTTAATAGTCTGTGACATTGGATTTTAATTTTTGTAAAGCTTAAGAAGATATCCCAATGACTGTAACTCTATTTTAACTGCAAGAGCAGGTAAATGTATGTCTGGGAGGCAGAAGGAGTGGGCAGACTGGTGCTTTCCAGTTCTTTTGCGTCACATTTCCATGGAAATTGGAATCTAAAACAGCCAGAGTACACGAGGGGGTTTCAACTTTGCAGTATACCTTATTGTGACTTTGCAACTCCTTTAGTCACCATCAGCTGGGATACAACGTGAAGGCACACAACACACACACAGCTTTTATTGGCCTGGGGCGGCTGCTCCCAGGTGAGTATCCAACTTGCAAATATCTTCTAAAACACAGTGTCAAATATAATGTTAGTTGTTGCTGGACATTTTAATTGTGTGTATCACACAGCGAAGGAGTAAAGTATTCTATTAACGGTAAGATGACAGGAAGAAATACAGAGGGGTGATCTTTTGGGCTTGACTAATCACAGACTTGCAACAACCCTGTATAAGAAGCCCGCATCTGTTATTCCCCGCAGGTTAAGAGGCAGTAGCTTTCCCAAAATTATGTCATGAGGGAAGAATTGAACTGGAGATATCTTAGATCACAGCGTATGTGTTCTCTGCCCTACACGCTCGGAAATGCCATTAAAGTTACACTACTTAACAAGCTTAGCCTTTATGACCTGCGGAGTTGCCAGTAAATCCCATCAACTCAGTCTTCTTTCCCCTTCCACACTGATGTATCTGTACAACCTTGCTGTGCATCTTCAAACTTTCCTAATAATAGTTCAGTGTTTCTGATATTGGGTTTAGCAATAAAATATGGAAGTTTTGTTGAACAATGTGTAGTTTAGAGTGTATGTATAGTTACTCTGAATGTTGAAACTGGAAACAGATCATTTTGCAATCCATCTTCTTTGACTTCAAGACAAATGCTAGATGCCAGTGGTTAGGTTCTTCCATGGATGGTTTTAAGTGTTAGAAGTCTTCTTCTTGGGTTATTAATAAAGCCCTTCTTTTGTGGTTTCCAGGCTGTATGTCCGTTTTCTAGCAGCGGTTTCTCCTGAGGAATTCATTAGGAAGAACTTCCTGACTGTGAGAGCTGTTCAGCAGTGGAACTCTCTGCCCCAGAGTGTGGTGGAGGCTCCTTCTTTGGAAGCTTTTAAACAGAGGCTGGATGGCCATCTGTCAGGGGTGATTTGAATGCAATATTCCTGCTTATTGGCAGGGGGTTGGACTGGATGGCCCATGAGGTCTCTTCCAACTCTATGATTCTATGATTCCGGCTGTAAAAGCATTCAACAATATATTGAACCCTTCTTTTATGTTTTCTTTGTCATTTTCATCCCCAGGCCAACATGGGTTCATGTTTCCTGGTCATCCTGCTAAGCAGCTACCTGACGTGCCTAGGATCTGCCAGCATGACCACAGGTAAGGCTCTGGTGCCTTCTCAAGAAATGCTGCTTGTTGTTGTATTGTTGCATAACCTCACAGAAGTTCCTTAACTATAATCATATAGTCAGGAATGTATTGCCAGCTTCTGCCTTTTCCAGACCTCACTGTCCGGGATGGTTAGCAATCAGATTGTTTCCAAAACCCAGATTTTGTAAATTAATGGTTAGTAACTATACCATGGGGAGCCCCCGGTGGCGCAGTGGGTTAAAGCACTGAGCTGCTGAGCTTGTTGATCGAAAGGTCGCAGGTTCAATTCCGGGGAGCGGTGTGAGCTTCCGCTGTCAGCCCTAGCTTCTGCCAACCTAGCAGTTCGAAAACATGCAAATGTGAGTAGATCAATAGGTACCGCTCCGGCGGGAAGGTAACGGCACTCCATGCAGTCATGCCGGCCACATGACCTTGGAGGTGTCTACAGACAACGCTGGATCTTCGGCTTAGAAATGGAGATGAGCACCACACCCCAGAGTCAGACATGACTGGACTTAATGTCAGGGGACTACCTTTACCTACCTTTACCTAACTATACCAGACATGGACAAACTTCATCCCTCCAGGTGTTTTGGGCCTCAGCTCCCACAATTCGGAATTATGAGAGTTGAAGTCCAAAACATCTGGAGGGCCAAAGTTTACCCGTGCCTGAACTATGCAGACCACGTTAACACAAACCATGGAAAAATAAGGGTTTTACTTGATGTGGTTAGAAAATCTGAGCACATTGTATTTCCATTAGACCACTCTGGTTCTCTTGGGCACGTGCCTTTATGATAGTCACCATTGCTTCTAATACATATATTTATATATTATTAGCTTTGCACTTTAAACCATACGTAAGCAGACCTTAAGATTTTTTTAATGCCTGAAATGACTTTGTTTTCTCTTGCTATAGCTGTTCTATTATCATACTCTCTCCTCATGTAATATGACTGAATAGCAAGTTTGAGATGTGTGTGTGTGTGTGTGTGAATCAATCAATCAATGAATTCATACAAATGCTTTAACATTTCGAGATTTTACAGATGGATTATTTTAACAGTTTTATCTTGTGTCCCTTTTTGACCCATCATAATTTCAGAGTACTAAAGGTATTTTTAATGTCAGTGTTCTTGGGAATATTGTCCATAGGACCGTATTCTAGGTACACAGTGCATAAATGCCCAGTGACAGTATGTCCAGAATAACTTATCCCCTTGTTTAGACTATGCTTAGAATAACAACGAAGGGACTAGTGTAACCTCTCTTGGAAGGGAGTTCCAGAACCTATGTTTCTACCAGTTGCACTTGTGAGGCTGGTAGCACAGAGAGAATGGACATCTCAGGAGATCATATGATAGAATATGGGCTTTCTGATAACCTAGGTTTGAACTATATAGTTCTCCTTATAGTTCGCATACATTGGTGAAGTGATGTAAGGTTTCCCTATCTCAGCCATCCTCATAAGCACCCTTTAACAACATCTCTCTCAATGATCCTAAACGACAAGGAACACCTAGTCCTCCCTGTTTCCATCTTAGGGCTCAAAGGCTGGATAATGGTTGGCTTCATAGACCAAGGAGGGCCAATTGAAATGCAAGCCAGGATTTAGTGTAGCCTTAGATAGAGAAGCTTTATAAAAGGGAGGGATGTTGTTCTCTTCTGTATTATTATAACGCTCTCTACGTGGGGTTGCCTTTGAAGACGGCTCGGAAGCTCCAACTAGTCCAACATTCGGCAGCCATGATACTAACAGGAGCGGAGCGCAGGGAGCATACAACTCCTCTGCTGCACCAGCTCCACTGGCTGCCGATTTGCTACCGGGCTCAATTCAAAGTGCTGCCGTTGGCCTTTAAAGCCCTAAACGGTTCTGGCCCAACCTACCTATCCGAACGTATCTCGGCCTATCAGCCCACCAGGACCCTAAGATCTTCTGGGGAGGCCTGCTCTCTATCCCGCCTGCTTCACAGGTGCGGCTGGCGGGGACGAGAGACAGGGCCTTTTCTGTGGTGGCCCCTCGGCTGTGGAATGCCCTTCCCATGGAGGTAAGATCAGCCCCCTCGCTAATGGTGTTCCGAAGAAGATTAAAAACTTGGATGTTTGAACAGGCATTTGGTTAATCAGTGCAATGAATGTGACGATTACAGGAATGGAAATATGGACGACGAATTTGGATCATGACTCTAGTGATGAGAAGCATTGTGTTGTTATTGTTGTGTAAAACTGTATATTGTGCTTTTGTGTTTTAAATTGTATATTGTGATTGATTTTACCTTTGTTGTAAACGGCGTTGAGTCGCCGGTTAGGCTGAGAAACTGTGGTATACAAGTAAAGTAAATAAATAAATAAATAAATTATTGTACAACTTTGTGGAATATGAAGACAAGATGTTATTGATTTAAGAAGATGAGCAAATGTGTTAGTAGTACCATATATACTTTAGTATAAACCAAGTTTTTCAGCCCTTTTATAAGGCTGAATAAACCCCTCTTGGCTTATACCCGAGTCAAGGTTATTTATTATTTTACTCTCTTATTCTTACATTTATTATTTTACTCTATTATTATTTTATTGCATTTATAATTTTACTCTATTTATTATTATTATATTTATTATTATTATATTTATTATTTTACTTTATTTATTTTTGTTATTATTACATTTATTATTTTACTCTATTTATTATTAGTATTAAAGTTATTATTTTATTTTATTTTATTATTATTGTGTTTATTATTTTACTCTATTGTTTTTATTACATTTATTATTTTACTCTCTTTATTATTGGAAGGATATGTAAGCACATTTACATTGTCTTATCATAAATTACAGTTTTATGTACATATCAAAAACACTTTACCTACTGATGCCTCAATTCATGTAATTTTATTGGTATCTATTTTTATTTTGAAATATACCAGTAGCTGCTGCAATTCCCACCCTCGGCTTGTACTCGAGTCAATACTTTTTCCCAGTTTTTTGTAGTAAAATTGGCTTATCTTTGGGTCAGCTTATACTTGAGTATACTGTATATGGCATTTATTAGTTTGAAGCCACAGAAGTAGAAACCTTTGTCTCAGATTAGATGTTTGAACATCAGTTGTGTGCAGTAAGTTACCACAAAGTTACATGGCCAATTCTGAATGTATTTTTTGACATTAATTTGTTTGTTTAGTTTTTACTGGCCATAATCTGCTTTCATTCCCTAAAATGTGTATCTGTTGTTGTTTTTGTTTTTGCAGTACTGCCCTCAGTTGTCAATTCTTCCTGGACCACAAGTTCTGTGAAAATTGCCAGGACACAGCCAAGTACCAGGAAGACCACAAGTGCAATCAGTAAAAATGCGACTTCTCCGACAGTGTCTCCCACAGTGGCACAGAACTATACTACGCCAAAGGCCACTGAACTCCCTGCTGCCACAACCAGCAGGCCTCCAGTCACAGAGGTGACGACTGTCAAGGCAGCGGTGGCCACTTCTGGGATCACTACCCTTCCACCAAATGCCACGTCCACCGTTCCGCACACGACTGCTGTCGACACAGACCTGTTTCCTTCGGAGGCCAACACCACAACAGCAGCAGCAACTTCAAAAGTGTTTGACACCTCAAGTACGGAAGAGCTTTGTTATATTTCACTTCCTCCTATGCATATGATAATTTAATCAGTAGTGTGTGTGTGTGTATGTGTGTGTGTATATATATATGATCAATCCTGCGAGTAGCATCTGACTTAGTTCGGTTCCCTAAATTCCGTTTACTAAACTGTTTCTGTCCTGGAATTTTATTTAATATTGCATATCTTGTACTTTCAGGGTCACTGTCTCTAGCATTCAAAAATGTGAGATGATTACATTAGGGAGCCTGCTTTATTCTAGAAAATTGGAGTAGATAATCCATTTAGCCTTTGATGTTGCTGAGCTTTATTGCACGGTTTGCAGTTTGTGCAGATTGCCGCCAGACCTACTAAAATGGTTTGATACCCAAAGAGATTTTTGTCAACAAGTTTAAGATGAAACGAAATTTATTTGTGGAGATTGGTTGAAGGAAGATGGAATCATGTCATATTCTGATGATTATCACTAACTAATGCTTCGTCTGCCTGCCTTTTCTTTAGCGGAGATAACAAGAGACCCAGGTAAGCATATTTCTTTGCGTTTTCTCTCTTTCCGCTTCTGAGTTAGAAATTTCCTGCCTCTGTCAGCATGAGGTTTCCCAAGCCACAATAACGTTTGAACATATCAAAAGATATAACCCACATGAATGCAAAAGAGCCAGAAATGAAAGAGTTCCCAACAGCTTTAGGCAAGGAGACCCAAGACAAAGGGAGAAGCAGAAAATATGTAATATTTTTAAGCAGGCCTTTGGCTTCAAGTAGGCTGAAATGGGCCTATATTAGGTTGACACTTTGGCACTTTAGTTGTATATTGATAGCAGCTAGTTTTAACCATTGATGGTAAGTCTTTAAATTGTGTGTTTGATCTTATTTTATGTGTTGATACTGGTTGTTTATAACTTTTGTGATATTATTTTATACTAATTTACTTGGGGCACTTGTAGTGCCTTGTTAGCTGCCCCAAGTCCCTTTCTGAGAGATGGAGGTGGGATACAAATAATTTATTATCATTATCATTATCATTATTATTACAATGATTGATTATTGATTAAGAAGACATATGTGAAAAGAGCTTGATGGGGACGGGGATGTCACATGGAATGGAAAGCAACACCAGTCACATGTTCGAATTACTTGAAAAGGAGCTAGTAGACACTTGCAATTTGAGTGAGGAAATATAAGCAGAGGAAAGAAGGAGATGGTGGCTTTTGTTACATTTTTCTCTTTAGTCTAATTGGAAGGCTTTAGTTGAGAAAATAATAGTTTCCTCTGCATTAAATGTTAAGATATTCAGTTGCATGTGGAGCTTACACATGTAAACCCAGGCTACTGTTAGTGAAGGCCCCACTCAGTGTAAACAATATTAATGCTTGTTGCATTACACCTGCACACTTATAGTATCCCAGTCTGTTTAAAATTGTTGTTCATTCGTTCAGTCGTCTCCGACTCTTCGTGACCTCATGGACCAACCTACGCCAGAGCTCCCTGTCTGCCGTCACCACCCCCAGCTCCTTCAAGGTTTAAAATAGCATTCCTTTAAACTCAACATTTTTTATTGATTAGCCAGTTGACCTTATCAAAAACAGACAGTGCAGACACAACATACAACATACATCTAGTCCTCTTAAAATAAAATACAAAAATACAGGTAGCCATAGATATATGCATCAACTATCCTCATCTCCCCTACACTGCACCCCACCCTTTAAACACAGTTGCTATTCAAACTGATAAAACTCTCTTTAGATCCTCACACCAGTACATCCCACTGACATGCTTACACCAAGAGGCAAAGTGACCCTCTTTCCAAAAGACTTTCCAATGCTTCCCCCTTTCTCCTGAGTTATTGCTTCTCATTGCTTTTCTCAGAGCCCCCGGTGGGTTAAAACCCTTGTGCCGGCAGGACTGCTGACTGATAGGTCAGCGGTTCAAATCTGGGAAGAGCGGGTTGTGCTCCCTCTGTCTGCTCCCTCTGTCTGCTCCAGCTCCCCATGCGGGAACATGAGAGAAGCCTCCCACAAGGATGGTAAAACATCAAACATCCGGGCATCCCCTGGGCAGCATCCTTGCAGACAGCCAATTCTCTCACACCAGAAACAACTTGCAGTTTCTCAATTCGCTCCTGACAAGAAAAAAGGCTTTTTTTCTGCAACTCCATATTAATAATAATAATAATATTTATTAATTTGATCAGTCATATGACCATTTCAAAATAGAACATGAGTAAAAAACAAGGCAAAAAGGTGAGGACAACAGCTGACCTTCTATTTATAGTCAGAATCTTATTTTCCTGGTTCTTCTTTCAGGAAACCATATTAATAAGTGTAACTGGCCTGGTAACTGGTTGAAGGAGTGTAAGACCCCCCCCCCCCCAAATATGTTTATTTTAAATAAACTAGAACTGAAGGTGAGCAAATTCTAGATGGCCAGTTATTCACTATGGCAGTGGTTCCCAACTTGTGGTCTGTGGACCACCAGTGGTCCACAAGAACTAAAATATGGGCTGCAGCCTCGCCGCTACTACACCATTGCAACGAATGCAACCGGTCTCGCCAAACACTCTTATAGTGCCAAGGCTTATTAAATACAGTTTTCTGTGGGTGAGCAGATGGTAACTACTGGATGGCATATGTTCTGTATCAGAAACTAGAACTGATGTGATCTATCCAATGCAATTTTCTGAATTAGAATCCCAAATAACCAAACCAAAACTAAAGTTGACCAAAAACTGATTCGTAACCCTTTTGGTACTAATGTTGGAGAGTGGAGAGTGGTCCCTGGTCAAAAAAACAAAGATTGGGAACCATTGCACTATGGGAACTTTTTAGGGCGAATTCTAAAATATTGCATCTAAGTGAGAGAACGGGCAATAAAATGACAGAGGCAGATCAATAATTGTAAGGTGATAAAAATCTTTATTTTGTATACATCTTGGTAGGTTTTGAATTGACCATGATTATTCAGGACAGTGATCTTTGAGTGTATTAAATAGATCTATGCATATATTAGAATTAGAGTAATTTTATTGTCATTGTACAACAAAATTAATCTAAAGTGTGGCAGCTTGAAAATGCCAAATGTTATGCTGGAGATCATTAAGAAAAGATTAAAAAATACAGCTATCAGTACCTGCATGGGATACTTTGCTGGGAATACTTTGATTTGGTGTATCTCAGAAGGATTTTTTTTCATGTCAGGAGCAACTTGAGAAACTCCAAGTTTCTTCTGGTGTGAGGGAATTGGCCGTCTGCAAGGATGTTGCCCCGGGGACGCCTGGATGTTTTTGATGTATTACCATCCTTGCGGGAGGCTTCTCTCATGTCCCTGCATGGGGAGCTGGAGCTGACAGAGGGAGCTCATCCGCACTCGCCCCGTATTCGAACCTGCGACCTGTCGGTCTTCAGTCCTGCTGGCACAAGGGTTTAACCCACTGTACCACTGAGGGCTACTATAGAGGGAAAATTAAAGATCTGGGAAAAAGGCAGCAAAGGAAGTAGTTTCCCCAATCTCTCTTATTCATTACCACACTCACTGTGATGACAGTCTTTGTAAAGAGCTCTAAGTGGAGTTTAGATAAGTGAGAAGAAGGCTCTCAAGGGCTAGTAGACATAATGTACCCTGCCTCCAGGATCAGAAGCAGCTGAATATCAATTGTTGTGAAGCAATCACCATGGTGGGAGATAGCGGGCCCAACTAAGTAGGCTTTCTGTCAGATCCTGGAGGGATCATGTTCTGACTGTACTTATATTTTTCTTCCATTTTTGCAGATAATGATCTTGGACGAGGTAAGCCATCCTTCTTAGCTATGTCTTTTGTATGTACAACTATGTGTGTCAACATGGACAACTCTGGGCAAGGATTAATCAATTTCTTGAGAAAATTGTCAGAAGGTTCAAGTCAGGATGATCATATGCTGTGTAAAAGAAACAGTGCTCCAGTTACTGAGGAACACATGTCAGGGGTTACTATTGTAATCCCAACTCAATTAGGGATTCTCAGAGGCAATAGGTTGTCCTGGAAGGATGGGTTTCAGTATGACTAGCGTAGCACTTTCTATATTCATTCACTGTATATAGTCTGATAAACCAGTATGTTTGTCCTTGATTGTGATAGTTGTGTTTTCTGTATTATCGAAGGCTTTCATGGCCGGAATCACTGGGTTGTTGTATGTTTTTTCGGGCTATATGGCCATGTTCTAGAGGCATTCTCTCCTGATGTCTCGCCTGCATTTATGGCAAGCATCCTCAGAGGTAGTGAGGTCTGTTGGAAATAGGAAGATGGGTTTATATATCTGTGGAATGACCAAGGTGGGACAAAGAACTCTTGTCTGCGTGAATGTTTCAACTGACCACCTTGATTAGCATTTAGGTTTAAAAATCAAAAGTTTTTGTTGATAGTAAATTGTTTGCGCCGTAGTCTTCTTAAGCTTGTCGGAGAAGCGAGGTTATCGTCTCCTATCCTATGGTGGTGGGGACTGTCGGCCCGTGGCGAGGG